TTTTTTTACTTGTTTTCAGTATTTTAAAAAATCTTTTTTCTTTCTTTTTAAAAAATTTTATTGGAGGTACTGGGAATCGAACCTGGGACCTGGTGCATGCTAAGCACTCACTCTACCACTGAGCTACACCCCCACCCGCTGCAGACATTATTTCTTGATGAGATTACAATGATCCCTGTATTTGTTAAAAGTTCTTATTTGTCACCTCTGAACATTATTAAAGTACCACAGTTTTTGTGACCTTGTTTTGGCTTATCTTTTCTTTTTAATTTAACTATAGTTGATTTACTATATTGTGTTAGTTTCAAGGGTACAGCTTCAGATTCTTTCTCACGATAGGTTATTAGAGGATGCTGAGTATAGTTCCCTGTGCTGTACAGTAAATCCTTGCTGCTTCTCTATTTTATATGTAGTATTGTGTATCTGTAAATTCCATACTCCTAACTTATCCCTCACCTTCCCCTTTCCCCTCTAGTAACCGTAAGTTTGTTTTCTTTGGCCGTGAGTCTGTTTCTGTTTTGTAAATAAGTAGATTGGTATTATTTTTTAGATTCCATATATAAGTGGTGTCATACGATATTTGTCTTTCTCTGCCTGACTGACTTCACTTAGTATGATCATCTCTAGGTTCATCCATGTTGCTGCAAACCTAAGTAGATAAGATAAGAAAGATGTGATATAAACATACAATGGAATATTACTCAGCCATAAAAAGAATGGAATATTGACATTTGCAGCAACATGGCATAATCTTTTAATATGTGAGAAACTTGAGGGGAAAAAAAAGGGTTGCCCAGGCCTCTCTTGACCTCCAAGGGGCCCAGCCCTTGGTGAAGGTGTGGGCTCCTGGGCCTCCTACCCACAAGAGTGGCTCCTTCGGGAGAAACCCAGGATGCCTGGAGCCTGTGTCCATCACACCCAGAGTCCTGCCTGGAAATGGAGAGGTGGCCACTGAGCCCCAGGGCCTGGAAGCCCTGACACAGAGCTCTGTCCCCATGCTTGTTGTGGAGAGAGGACTGAAGACCTTAAGTTGGAGTCTAGGAAGTACTCGGAGCAGAAGTGGTTATACCATCTGCCATTTACTTTTAAAAAATGCATTGTAAGCATGTGCACTGGTTTTAATGTGTATCCCAGGGGTAGTTAACCTTAGAAATCAGTAATCTGTGCTCTAGGAGTGCCCAGTGCAATTTGAAAGTTCCTATACCAGAGTCCACACTCCAGAGGCGGCTACTAACAGTACTTCAATATGCTCGCTTGAGTTGACAGCAGAGGTCGTCTACGATAGCATAAGGGATGTTTAGGACACATGGATTGGCTAGAAATATCATACAGATATTTTTACTTTTGAACAAAAGGAATATGAGAATCTGATGAGGCCAGAGCCCAGTATCCTTTAGAATAAAGTTCAAAGACCCATGAGTCCCTTAGGTGCCCTCTTTTGCCAAAAAATCCTGTCAGCCAGTCCGAAGGTCTACTGCCTGCAAAGCTTCCCTGCAAGGAGCTACGCTGAGACTCCTTGGAGATTACAAGTCTGATGATCTTGTCTCGCCTGCTTGCTAATAAGTGTTGAGATACATGGCAGAATTTCTTCTTGGACCTGTTTTCTTCACAGCAGACAGCCTGCTGGCAAGGCTGTTGGGGAGGGAACCTAAAGGCTCCCACCTCCCATCAGCCTCAGATGATCAGTAGCTACATGACAGTTAGAAATAACTTCATTGGCTTAGATCAGTTTGCAGCAAGCGGCATTATAGGCTGAAAACCACAGGTCTGTTCTCAGAACTACTGGGCTGGCTCAGATGTGCCAGTATTCCTGAGTGGTCCCAAGGGGAACAGGAGCTGGAACTCCCCAGCCTGGAGATCCAGCCAGTACCTGTGGATGAGGGGCTGAGCCAGATTTTTATTTAAAAAGTAAAGAAACCTGCACCCCAATATTCACAGCAGCACTATTTACAATAGCCAAGACATGGAAACAAATGGTCCATTGACAGATGATTGGATAAAGAAGATGTGGTGTGTATATATATATAAAAGGATAAAATACTGCCATTTGCAGCAAATGGATGGAACTGGAGACTGTCAAACTTAATGAAGTAAGTCAGAAAAAGAAAATACCATATGATATCACTTAAATGTGGAATCTAAAAAAAAAAAAGACACAAATGAACTCATTTACGAAACAGAAACAGACTCACAGACATGGAAATTCAACTTATGGTTACCAGAGGGGGAAAAGGGGGTGGAGAGATAAATTGGGAGTTTGGGATTTGCAGATAGTAACTACTATACATAAAATAGATAAACAACAAGGTCCTACTGTATAACACAGGGAACTATATTCAGTATCTTATAATAGCTTATAATGAAAAAAGAATATGAAAAGGAATGTTTTTATATGTATAACTGAATTACTATGCTGTACACCAGAAATTAATACAACATTGTAAATTGACTATAGTTCAATAAAAAAAAAGAAAAGAAAAGAAACCTCCAACCTGAGTGTAGCAGAGCAAATCCAAACATGCCCACTCCCCATTTACACATGAAGGCTGTCCCACAGAACTCAAGAGATGGTATCTATATTGTCAAGTGAGTAAAAAGTCAGCAATAAGAAAATATTGAATGATATTCTTAAAGAATAAAACAATATAGATCCCATTCACGATAATAAAGATATATTATTTGGCTGCAATTTCCCAGAGTCACCTTTAAAAGATGCTTGATCTGGAAATGTACATTTGGATTCATAGAAATAAGAATTAACAGGCTCAAACAAAAATTTAGATATTTAGGTATAGGGAGTGTAGAAAGAGTAAGAAAATGTTCAGCTTTTACTTGAGATCTGAAATGGAATGGAGACTTGTTAGGATTGACAGGCTGGGACCACTGTCCCGCAGGGCAGATGGTAGAGGTCTAAGAAGGCAACCAGCAGACTGCAGTGATGGTGGGAGAAAAATTCCTTCTCACAAGGACAGTTAAACCAAATGTTGCCTAAGACAATTCCAAGGGACATGTTTGCCAACGAGCTTTTCTGATGAACTTAAAACAACCAAACTTAACCAATCAAAGCAAAAGTTGAACAACTTAGTTCTCTACATTTTGGAAAGCAAAGTCAACATCCAAGAGATTGACTTCTAAAATATACTGGGAACACAGGGCAGTTTATTACTTTAGGAATTCTCAGTTTTTGGTTGGCTGCAAATACTCATTGCATGTTAAGATAATCCCTGTTCTCTGTCCTACTGAAGCCTGTGCTGAGCCGGAGAAGGACTGAAGAGGTCTTTTAGGACAACCTCTTACTATGAGACGACACAAAGATTTGGTACCGCTCACTGCACCTGGGTTAAGTGGCAGAGCTGGGTCCAGAACTCTGGTCCCCAGCCCTGGTCTAGGGCTCTTTTCACTACCGTCTCATAGCCCAGGACATCTCAGTGCCTAAACTGCATTCCCTTTATTTCTTTATACTTTGTCAGCAGGTCAGTTTTACTTCTTCAGTTGTTAAAAATAATACCCTTTCGGGGCTAAAATGGCACTCCTATCTTGCCATTTATAACTCAAACTGGGAGGAAAAAAAATCATTCAAAGGGAAAAAAAAAGCCTTAAGAAGATGAAGGAAGCATTTAGAAAGTTATCATTTTTATTATTATTATTATTATTATTATTATTATTATTATTAAAGTATAGTCAGTTGCAATGCATAAATTTCTGGTGTACAGCAAAATGTCCCAGTCATGCACATATATACATATATTCACTTTGCTATTCATTTTTATTGAAGATATTGAATATAGTTCCCTGTGCTATACAGAAGAAATTTGTTTTTATCTATTTTATATATAGTGGTTAACCTTTGCAAATTTTAAATTAACACTGAAAGTTTATTTGAAAACACGGGCAACCCAGAATTATCCTTGTGG